GGGTTTAACGAACCTAATTCAAAAGAGAGCTCTGAGATGGAAGCACACTCGGACCCGAAGGCATTACTTTAGCGCAACCGGGTATCAGATCCCCCTGGCGTGATTCTGCAAGACCATTCCGGATGAGCTATCTCTTGTACAACACCGGAGAAGACGTGTTAAACAAGCTTTGCTTGCTTTGTCGCAAACTGACGCATCAAACAACGCTTTTGATACATGGTGTGTATGCTAAAACGCACCTTTAACTCTGCTAGCTTTTCCAGCTTATTGCCAATGCGCTTGAGCAAGCGAGACCAAGTTACATTTACTTTTTTTGTTTCTTTCTTGCCATTGTCACTGTGTTTTGTCGGCAACTTCTTGATAGGCACTTCGTAGCTCTGGTGTTACCCACAATAATGATATTTGGCTTAGCAATTTACATTGAGATAGTGGCGCACACACTTGCGTACCATTTATTCCGTTTGCTCTGAACTCGAGGCGCTATTTCATGCAAAACATTTCTTCTTGTTATGCACACTTTTTGGAATACACGAGGTTATGTCAAAGCAGAAGTATTATAGCAAAGTCAGGGTACGAATATGCATAATACAAAATGCAATGCAATCGATTGCTACTGGATAAACAAAAAACAAGATCGAAAGCAACTCGAAGCTTGTAGCAGTCCACCCGCTGATGCCGAGAAAGCTTATCTGCCCTCAATGCTTACACCCGTAGCCCGTTTAGTCTTTCTTCCAGGCCTGGCAATTTCCTGCATCCGCTTAACCAAGCGCGCCTTGCGAGAGTCTGGGTCCACCTTCTTAGACTGTGCGGCATTCATGTCTACCTTAGACTGAGGGCGAAGCAGAAAATTTATGTGCAGCTGCTGTGGTAGCTCTGCACGCTCCGATGCCTCAACCTTCACACCATTCTCAGCGCTGCGAGCATTAAAAATATTACCACCACGATTAGTGGCGTGTATTTTGTTCTTCGACTTCTGTTGTCTACGCCTGTAACACCATTGAAGCGTCAGCACTTAAAGGAATACAGCAGCATTAATAAAAATTGTGCAAGCCTTACGCGCGCTCACGACGGCGATAAACCTCATTCTCAGCCTTCTCAGCCTCTAACTCGGCCAGCTTTGAAAAATCTAACGTCTTGTTGAAGACTGCGCGACTCCAACGCTCCACAAGACTGCGACAGAGCTCCTTGTTCTCAGTTGTCTATCGCGCGTATACAAAACAGCGTTAGTCTTTATAGGACAGATCCTTTCAGTTCATGCGATTTTGCATTACCTCTTGTGGGTGTTTCATCAACAGCATCACAACTTTACCAAGTCCACTGCGCTTCAAATGCTCTTTAAAAACTGTCATACATGCATTATAAAATTTAGAGCAAAAACATTCTTTTAACAAACGCTCACGGTAGCTTTCAACTTGCTGACATTAGCGCGATACAAACAACAAACCTGGCATCTTGCTGATCATCTCAAGCATCTTCGTACGTAAGCCTACGTTGGGCAGTGCGCTATCTTCTAAAGGCTGAATCCACTTCTTCACAATCTACTCCCACACGAAAAGTCAGCACCATACTCATACTGAACAATATACTCAGCAAAAAGCACACACGTACAGTGAGCAGATCAAAGTCCAACAGCATAGGCTGAAACTGTATCTTGCGCAAAACGTGGAGGGCGTTGTCCAAAAACTTGATCTTTTCTACTGCTGGACGACGTTCAGCAATACTAACTAGATCGTCCGCGTAAGCTTTGTCCATTCGATAGAGCACTTCCTGTGTAATTTGCTCCATCTCCTGCGGTGACAAATTAATCTTGGCGCGAGAGCCAGTCTTGAGGGAATCAAGGGTCCTGTCAAAAAAGTCGTCCTTCTGCTTCTGCATCTGCCCTGTTTCATCGACAGGACGCTCGTCATCAAATTGCTGTCGGTCCTCGGCATACTCGCCCAGCACATCTGCCAGATCATCATCCCGGTCAATAAAGTCATCGTCGTCCTTTGTAGCGACTACATCATCTCCTGAATCGTATTCGTCTCCGTCATGGCGTCGTTTAAGACCGTCACTATCGTCGAGGGAATGTTTGACACGTTTGACGGGCGGTAACGTTGGACGTTTGGCCGGCTTCCCCTCTTCCTCATCGCTTTCCGAGTCAGATCCAAACAATCTGCAGTCAAACAACAATAAATACGTAAGAATTGAGCCATCTTTTCATAAGGCTGCTGTCAAAAGGCACCCTGAAGCATCAGCTGTAGTAACACTCGTAGCTTTCAAAAAACATAGCACAACGTAAAAATGAATCTGTTAATATCAACTGAACAAAGATGGATATATTAGTTTCTAATCTGCTAGAAAAAAATGACATAACACGCACTGCGAGCAATTTTGTCGTCGCCCAAGTCATCCGAATCTTCGTCACCAAACATCTCGTTAATGCTGCGCTTTTTACGTTCGTCTTCTACCAAAAAAAGATGCAAGCATCCCCGCCCCATTTAGTCCACGAGTGATTATAAGTAGTAGCACATTATATCAATCATATTATTTTCATATAGCTAGTAGCACAGGTCCTCCTACCATCAGAACTTCCCATGACTGTAGTACTACAGAGTAGTCTTTGTGAGTAGATTAAGTTTAATAAAGACGAGATTTTTATAATTGTGTTAATGTGGTGTAAAGAGACATTTGATTCGCTCAAAATCAGCTTAAAATAAGTTAAAATTAAATCGTTGGAACCGGAAAGAATAATGAGAAAAATTACTCCAAATTATGTACTGACTATTAAGTAGTATTGTCTGGTATATAATTAATAAGCTAATCACCTACCATGACACGCAAACGATATCGATGTGTTAGTACGGTATGCAAATGATAGTAGGTCAGGCAGGGAAAAGAACAATCGTATGCCTTTTTTTCCAATGGTCTTTATAACGGCCACAATAACATAACATTCTTGAGACTACCAGTTTCCACCTGCATCATCGTCAATCAAGAATAGCTTCACTTGTCGTCTTCGTCGTATTTTACATAATCAAGCATGGTGCACAGCACTGCACGTTAGCAGTACTGCTGTCATCCTGTGTCTTTCCAGCAGCCGTCGCGACCATTGAACGCGCGACCTGTTGATTGGTGTTCACCATTGGATATTTAGTTGTAGCAGAAGTACTCGAGACAATATAATCCTTAGCTTCCGCGTGTGAGATCGACGCTTTAGCAATAACATTAGCGTTCAGAACCACCGAATTTGGCGCGTCTGCATGCGACAACGACTGCCTCGCAATGGCATTGGCGTTCGGGACCACAGGGTTTTGTGCTTCGGCGTAGGACAAGGAGATGGATGAATGACGACTTCCTGAGACGGAGCCGTTGTCCAAAGATACGTTTCGAGGACGTCGGCCACCGTACTCGCTTGAAGACGCGTCACTCTCTGCGTCCATGTGCTCGCTTCGCAGACTAAAGACTTCAGAAGGTGTACCCTCGGATCGGTGCTGCCTTGCATGGAGTCCGTGAACCCACCGCATGGCATCATTCTGACTATCTGCCTTGAGTAGATACGATTGGTCACCAATGGCGATAGAGAACTCGAGTCTATTGCTGTCCGTGGGGACAAAGTCAATGGTTTGCGTGCGCCACAGATCAATGCACGCCAACAGCTTGTCACTCTCTCGGTTCTATAATCAATAAATATGTATGATAATAATTCAATTCTAATTAGTATTTTCCAGACGTTGTTTGATTCCTTAATAATAAACACGTTCTAACCTTGTAGTACGTTAAATAATGTGTCGTGGCTTCAAAGTAGCGACGCTGCCATCGATCGTGACGCGATTTCTTGCTTAAATAACCTGTCAAAAACGCGCAAAATATGGCAATAATGTTATCTCTAGATACAAAGCTAGCACAATAATAAATCGCACCTTTCAGTTCCGGTAGATTCATAGTCACCGCTCAGTACGCCAGCAGATATTGGTCTTGGTCAGAAAAAGCAATAAAGGCTGAGTTGTGTACCCTTGCGCGTACCCCTAGTGTACCCCCACATGTTGAAAACAAATCATATGGTTTCTAACACTTTAGCAAGGTTGCGACATGTCTGCAAGAAATTTATAAACTCCATTCTACTTCAAATGATGTTAAATGCCTTGAAGCAATTTTGCAGCAGCATTAGCGGATATGAGGCAATTGTCAAGCTTAGAACCAAGAAAACTGTCACCAGCAATAATGATACGTGGATTAGTACTAAGCAAAAGAGCAGGCACTTTCTCAGTCTCTCCCTTGTCAATGCTTGGATCATGATACGGTTTAATCACCTGAGAAATTCTAAGCATAGACCAAGTGGGAGTTTGTAAATTAAATAGAATGGTTGTAAACATATGACCGAAGCAATAGACGTACCGCCAACGATGCAGACGCGCATCATGCTCAGTCGGTAGTGACGGTAACATTTGTTGCAACGACTTGGTGATGATGGCAAGGATTTCATTGTTAGGGCGACTGTCGTCCATGAACGTAGCTCCAAAGGACACTGATGTGTGCACAATTAAAGTTGGCGGAAATTGACCACCCGTATGCTTCTTTAAATGATCCCAGCATAAAAAGCGAATGATGTCGCTTTCGTCACGGGAAACGTACTTGGCAGTCCAACCAAATTCTTGCACTGCTAAAGACGCGGTGTTGTCGAAGACGTAAGCAGCAGCAAAACGCTGGGAGTATTTTACATCTTCCAACGCTTGCAATATGTTTGGTGCAACGTGAAACGTTGTACTTTTCTTGAGTATTGACAAAACCTGTTCACATATATACACACCATGGTATTGAGTACCCGGACGGCATGAACTACACCCCCTTAAATGATCTTACGTTTGGTATAGGACACGTCAACACCAATTCGTTTACAATCTCCTTCTCTCCTTTGCTAGTTTTTACCTGAATTTGATTAGCATCGAGCACCTTAAAACTTTCCAAGTGCGTAGACAGTCTCGCCTGCGTCTCTAATGAACACCACAAACATCAGCCCCAGCGTCACACAACAAAGGTATTATCTTAAACTTCTCAATGACTTACCCTCGAGTAAGTACTCTACCACATGCCGAAACCCTTTTCTGTCAGAGCAAATGAAGTGCGCCTTAGCAATTCCTCGATATGGATCCTGAGCAATTTCTTTCTCCGCAAAAGGCACCAATTGACCACTCTGGATCATATTTTGACAAAGATCCGTATTCATTTCAGATTGTGGTGTCCAATACTGCGCTCCCATATCCACATAAACATCTCGTTGCTTAACTAATGATCTAAAAAGAAGGCAAATCCATTAATTCATGTCACTTAATCCAGTCTCTCCACATTTTTTATCGCCTTACCTGGCCATAGCGCGCCCACCAAAGATACTATTACGATCCCATATGACTATATGTGATACATACTGTGCTGATATTTGAGCCTCATGTAGTAGTCGTGCTAATGCCGCTCCAGTCATGCCGCCACCGATAATTAGTGTTTTTTTCATAATTATAAAATAATATTTATCTAAAGCCTATTGATATGTTGTTGCTGCGGATTGGACAAAAGATAAAACACCAGAAATCAAATCTAAATATCCTCCAATCCATTGTATTCATCGTAAACAACTTACACGCGCGGGTTAGGAATCATATAGCTAAATATACAAATAAAGAACGTCAGTTGTGTCAGTCCCTAGGACGATGGCGCGCTCTAACGCCGAGCCGCCAGCGCTCAGGGTCAATAATGTTAACGTGAGCTTGTCAATGCCACGTCCAGCTTCCGTTTTCCAGTTATCAGGAGCTTCTACTACCAATAGCGGTCGCTTTATACTGCCAAATATGGCACTACGTAAAGTAGTAAAGAAGCCAATTTTTGAGGTACGAAATGTTAATTAATTGCAATTATTTATATTAAATTGTGAATAGATGGGATCGAATCGTGTAATTTATTTTACTTATTACGTCTTGTACTGCTACTATTATAGAATTTTGATGAGTCAGCTTACAGTGTAAAGCCTCCAACGCAGATGCTGCGCTTTATTGACGGCTTACGGTATCACAAACCTACATCTGAAGAGAGCAAAGCATTAAATCTTAGCAGTGCTACAGAGAGGATTTATCTTCATGTACTAAATGACGTATGCACAAACTGTGAGTGTTACTTACTATTGGCTGAAATACTAAGTTTTGATAATTCTGGTAGATTCTGATGATGTGTGGAGCACGTAAAGGAGCACGTTTTAGCTCACTGGATGTCAATCGACTTAAAGTTATTGCTGAAGGACTAGGAGCTAGATACGAAGCTGTGGACGGAACTTTTCGTACACTACCAACAGACGTGATGAGGTATCGCTTTCATGGGGTGAAGAGATTAGAGGATGACCCATCCCTTTTTGAGTTCCTTTCCAATCGCTCTCGCAACAGTTTAGTTGGCATGAGCTTGTTGAATTCGGAGGACCAAGTAAGGCGGCGGGCTTTTTACTTTCAATGGCTGGCGCGTCAGTATGTGGTGACTTTTGCACAGCTGAAGACAGCAATGCAAGAGATATGTGATCGCGTGCAGAAGGATATGGCTGCTTTTGGAGCGCTTTCAACACCTGCCCTTGCTGATATCAACGATGCAGGTTGGCTGCTGTGATTTGTTTGTGTAGCTGTTGTGCATATTGGTGATTGAACGACATGTTCACTTGTTGTGTGTCTGTACTGCCAACGCCATCTTGGGTTGGGTCATTTTGCTGCGCAGTAGAAGCAGAGTTTGAGGCGAAAACACACCACCCGTTTCCTACGTTTCTATTTGTCCTCATTCAGAAATATCATCGCGAACAACGTAGTAATGGCACGACGTGGACCGTGGGATTGGACAAACCGCCTGTAGACTCGATCGGGCAGTTTGCCCTCTATTTATCAAGTGTTTTGCTCCAGCCGGCACCGATGACGTCTGCGGAGCTGCACAGCGTTCAAGTGCTCTTGCAAATTGTGTACGTATAATATGTCACGGAGACTCATTGATGGGCAAACATTGGTTTAAATGGTTATTTGAGTTGTTCGCGCAGTAAGGCAGAATTCCGAGTAGACTACCATTCGATGGTACTGGTGGTGACTAGAGTAGTACAAGCAGACGGCCAAGTAATTGTGAACACCTCGTCTCGTTCATGGTTTGATAGCGCACCAGACAGCGGCGATTTTTCGTCTGAACAAAGTACCAGCAACGTCGTCCGGGTACTTACGCACGAGACTTTGAGTTCTCTGCTCTTTGCCTTTTTGATGACAGTTCGTGAGCTACGTTTGGTACCGCGCGAGAAAGAGCTTCTAAACCGCGGAAAGAAGACGAAAAAGACAGCGCTTATGTTGCATTAATAGGATAGAGGAGACACTGTTATCTCGTGGCAAAATTAATCACCCGCGCAGTAGCGAGGCCGATCCTCTCTCTGCTTGTGTAAAGACCATGTAAAGATGCAAGTTACAGCTATAGGGAGCGTCTAGTATAGAAAATTGCAAATCTGGTCTTCAATGTTTTTTATCATCATTTTGTTATCGCTCTGAAATGCCTGTTATGCAAATCGATCGGTCTCAAGAATAACTTTACAACCACAAGCTACAGACGATTGACTCAGCAAACTTTGGCTTGCGACATGGTCCCTAGTGTTGTCGTGTACATATACTAAAATCCAGACAGTAAAGTTTGGCCAGCACGTAACAACAAAGTCCGTCGCTAGTTACGTGACTACTGAAAGGTTACGCATTACCACATTGCTACACGAGTTGATCTTGTGCAGAAGTAGACGTGCTCTGACGTATATTCATTTAGATTTTAGAATAGACTTGCAGGAATGGACTGGAAAATATTTGCTACTATTTTAATATCGTGTTTAATACTATAAATGCATGGTATTGTAATAGAAGATGGGTGTGATACATTCAGTTAAAAGCTTTTAGCAGTTTTTGTAAGAAATGAGCACATGTTTAGTAATCCAATATGACTTTTCCCTTTATTATTATTATTATCATCAACCATTAAGAAGTGACTATGCCGACCAAAAACGATCATATTTTTGACTCTATTTTCCAGTAGCAAAGGACACACGTAGGTACAGTTCAAATTCGGTACAGTACACCGCCTGGTTTTTGCATAAACCGTACTGTCTATCTCTTGCCCAACAATTCCAAATCGTGCATTTTTTTATTGAATATCAAAAGACCCTTTTTTTAGCCACCTATAAAAAACCTTTATTTTATACCAAAAAAAGCCTTTTTTAATTAAATGGATAGGTTTAAACCATTCTTTCGATAATTACTACCCTTTCAGCTGTGATATTTCTGAAAATCTCATCTGTATAGAGAAAGCTTAAATATAATTACCGTCACATCTGATCGTAGTAAAACGGTGTGGGGTTGTACGGGCTAAAGTGTCCTATTAGCGACCAAAAAGCGAGTCGACTTTGTGAAATAGGAAGTAGGAAGTAGCACACAGACCGAAATTGCATTCGAGTCAACTCGTTCCATTTTCATAGAGAAGAGCTTAACGAGGTATTTGGGTTGTATCATTATTATTCCGATTAGTTCAATTTTTCTCTACCTTGTGGGCAGTCTCCAATTCAATGGACGTCGGGGTTCAAGTGGAAGTACAAGTAACGCCACAAAAATGGCGACATGGTGAAGTTATTGACCGCTATGAGAACTCGATTAAAGCATTAGGTACTGTACTTGTCATTAAATTAAAAGACGGTAGTATTACGGAGCGTCTAGTTCCCATTGATGTAACAACTCAAGACACTTCAGACGTACGATTACTAACGTCTGGACAAGACCAGCACTTGGATGTAGATGACTTGACGCAGCTTATTGAATTGGACGAGACAACAATCTTATCGGCTTTGGAAACACGTTTTAATCAGCACAAGATTTACACGAACACGGGAGCCATTTTACTAGCTGTTAACCCATTTCAAAAGATTGCTCATGTGTACAGCAAAGACACAATGACTGAGTATCTGCTATCATTTGAGGCTAGGAACTCATGTATGAAAAGTAAAGGCACTGAATCAATGCCACCGCACATTTATCAGGTAGCTGGAGAAGCGTACAAGGCCATGATGTTAGGCCTTAATGGAGTTATGAGCGACCAAAGTATTCTTGTAAGTGGAGAAAGCGGAAGCGGCAAGACGGAAAGCACCAAGTTTCTTATGGAGTATCTTGCACAAGCAGGTGCAAACAATCTAGCGGCATCAATGGCTGGAAAAAGCCCTGGCGGCATTGCTGCCAAAGTATTGCAGACCAATATTTTGCTTGAGTCATTTGGTAATGCACGCACTCTACGCAATGACAATTCGAGTCGATTCGGCAAGTTTATTAAGCTGCACTTTACTAGCGGAGGCAGACTCACAGGTGCGAGTATTCAAACGTATTTGCTTGAAAAAGTACGGCTCGTATCGCAATCTAAGGGTGAGAGGAATTACCATATATTTTACGAAATGGCAATTGGAGCAGCCTCAGCAGCAAGAAAACGATGGTCTTTGGACCCACCACAGGGTCAAATTATGTTTTCGGGGGACCAAGGAGAAGTGACGGAGACTACACGCCAGTTTTTACATTATCGATATTTGAACCAAAGCGAGTGCTACCAGCGTCGGGATGGTGTCAAGGACTCGGACATGTTTCGACGAGTCATGGGCGCTATGGACATTGTGGGCTTTACTCCAGCAGAGCGCACAGGTATTTTTGACATCCTAGCGGCTCTTATGCACATTGGAAATTTGTCCTTTGAGCACGACGAAAACAGCGACAGATTAGGCCAGTCGATGGGCCCTGGGGCCGGCAAATCTGACCTCGCACCTAGTTGTATTTGGTCGCGTGATGCTGCTGCTTCACTTATGGCTGTTGACGCTACTAAGTTAGAGCGCGCACTGAGCGTGCGCCGAATTCGAGCCGGTTCTGACTTTGTGAGCATGAAACTCTCTTCAGCTCAGGCCAACAACGCCCGTGATGCCCTTGCCAAGGCGTTGTACGGTCGTCTATTTGATTGGATGGTGACAAAGATCAACCACTTTCTTAAAATGGACGACAGCCAGAAGGCGAAGGGTGGACTTCACTCTATCGGGATTTTAGACATATTTGGCTTTGAGGTGTTTCCAAAAAATTCGTTTGAACAGCTATGCATTAACTTTGCCAACGAAACGCTGCAGCAGCAGTTTAATGACTATGTGTTCAAGGCCGAGCAGCGTGAGTACGAATCACAGGGTGTCGACTGGAAGTATATCGAGTTCTGTGATAATCAGGATTGTGTGAACTTGATTTCGCAGCGGCCGACTGGTATTCTCTCGCTTATTGACGAAGAATGTGTCATGCCGAAGGGAAATGACACAACGCTAGCATCTAAGCTCTACCGAGCATGCGGTAGCCACTCGCGCTTCGAGGCGTCTCGTATTCAGCAGGCGCGTGGTTTATTTACAATTGTACACTATGCAGGTCATGTAGAATACTCTTCAAATGGATTCTTGGAAAAAAACAAGGATGTTCTTCACCAAGAGGCGGTAGATATGCTCGTGTATTCTACACAAGAAGACAGCTTTGCCCGCACGCTGTGCGAGGGTATTGGTGGTTCGCGTGATCGTGCCAAATCATCCCCACGTCAACGTGCACAAACCAGTAAGAATCGCGGCGCAAGTGTTGGTTTGCAGTTTAAGGAGCAATTAACGACCTTGCTGGAGACGCTGCAGCAGACCAACCCGCATTACGTTCGTTGCCTCAAACCGAATGAATCATGCAAGGCAGGTGTGTACGAGTGCAAACGTGTATTAAATCAATTGCGCTGCAACGGTGTGATGGAGGCTGTTCGCGTTGCAAGAGCAGGATATCCAATCCGTCTACCGCACGATGAGTTTGTCGCGCGTTATTTTAGCTTGAAGAGGTCCAAGAATCCTCTGTTAGCAAAGAAGCAAGCAATTTCGTTTGGCTTGCCTGACTCGGACAAGGGATTGGTAGTCGTTAGTAGTGAGGCCAAGGAATTGTTGAAAGGTTTGCTTGATGCGATTCCGAAGGAAAACGATGCGAATCCACAGGGCGCTTGTGAACAACCTGATCAGGGTCCGTTTGCTACGAAGTGCATTGCAGTGGGCATTCAAATGGGATTCTCAAAAATGTTTATGAAGAAGCCGACTTACGAATTTCTCGAAGAGATGCGGTCGCAACGTCTTCGTCGTCATATGATCAAGATATATTACGCTGTGTTGTGTGTGACTGCCCGCAGGCGCTATTTGAAATATCTTCGTGCTGTGAAGACGCTGCAAGTTCGATTTCGTTACAAGAAACATCAGAAAATACGTCGCCGCCGCCAGAGAATGATGATTCGGAGAAAAAATGCCGGCAAAGTTCAGGGCTTCATCCGGACGGTGGTGCAGCGGAAGAAATTTGTGCGTTTTACCGGAGTTGTGCGGTTGTTGCAGTGCCGTTTCAGATTTCGTCGAAGGCTGCGCGTGAAGCGCACAGAAGCAGACCGTACCGCAAAACTTGCAACTTTGCGACGCAAGCAGCAGATGCAGGCAGTAACCCATTACACGGAAAGCTCGACGGCCTCTTCAGACTCGTCCTCCTTTCGATCAGTGACCTCCAACCCCAACGATATTGAAGGCTCTGGTATCTCGGACATGTCGTCTGATTACTCGTCCGATGATCAATTTACTTACAACGACAACTTTCCGAAGCACAATCTTAATACAGTTGACGAGCAAAGCAGCCAGATGATGCCTCGTACGTCTCACCACGTTTCCCCGCGTAAATCTCAATCTATTGACTCAATCACTCCCATGGGCGGACTTGGATCATCCCGCATGGCCGGCAGTAGTATCCACGGCAGCAGTCAAGGACCCAATAGCCAACCAAGGTCACGGTTGCCTTCACGCAAGTCGTCCTTTCGAAACACTCGATCGTCTCGTGCAGTCGCACTTCCGAGGCTGGACGTGATCCAGAATACCTCGTGGGTGAACGACGAAGACCGCTTTAGCTGCCATATCTGTAACAAGCGCTTCAACATGTTCAAGCGCAAACACCACTGCAGAGCCTGCGGCGAGGTCATTTGCAACAGCTGTTCTTTGTACCACCGGATTCAGTCCCGGTCTATGCGAGTTTGTGTGTCGTGTGTGGCATTCCATTCGTTGGATAGCCCCACATCGGCTGGATCGACGGGGTTCTTGCGCCCCGGCGGTGGCAGTGCTCACTCTTTTGATTCGAGCCGGAAAACGTCGAATGGCTCAGCTGCAGACCGAAACCGCAGCAGTACGCTTAGCAGCGGCGTGTGGTTGAATCCGTGGCCCGAACCGCCCTACCCTTTGGACGAGGACGAGCGCCTGACAGTATTACGTGAACTCAACATCCGCGAGCTTGGTTTGTCCGGCAAGTTCAACATGTACTGTGAAGTTGCTGCGAAGACGATGAAGTGTCCGATCGCGTACGTGAGTATCATTGAGGATGAGGAGCAGCATTTGGTAGCAAACATTGGCATGGCGCACACGACGCTTCCTCGTGAGCTGTCGTTTTGTGCCCACACAATCTGCCAGCCTAGTGTGTTGGTGGTGCTGGATACTAAAAACGACGATCGCTTTCGCGAGAACCCAATGGTTAAGGGCGATAAGGGTGCCGTGAAGATCCGTTACTACGCTGGTGCGACGATCTTCTCGCGTGATGGTCACGCTCTTGGCACGGTGGCGGTGCTTGACACGAAGCCAAGGCGGGAGGTGGATCAGGAACACATTGGCATGCTGCAGCACTTGAGCTTTTTGGCAAGTGAGAAAATGACGCAGAGTACTATCCAAGAAGATAGCGATAGCGAGTTTCTATGAACCAACCGTGCAATACAGCCATAAAATTGTCCATGTGAACAAACCTTATGCCAGTCAATACAAGTAACGCAACCAGTATCGGTCTTATATACTAAATTATTCTTTGTGGACCGGTAGATTGCCTGAACCCATTTTTAGCACTAGAAATTCAAGCCGCAGGTACCTTGCAATCGTGACTATTTGAAGAAGATCAAGCACTGTTACTATGAAAGCTTGAAAAAAGCTCTTAACTCAATGCAACCCAGAGCTCAACTTCCAATGATGGTTATCCGATGAAAAAAGTAAAGTGCAGAAAGATGTCAGCATGAGTGATGGTGTTTCACCAGACCCACTATATACTAATGCCGCACAATAGGCATCACACTTGCCTAATGTTCAAGCTGCATATGTCAGTACAAACTTTTCATGAGTCAATTAAGGTAGTAGAAAGATGAAAAAATAAGTATATTCATAAACGTATACCGAAAATAATACCACTACTTCGATGTTCAACTCCTTCATACCCGTTCACGTATCCGGTTTTTTCCTGTTGCTCGTAAAAATTCATCGTAATTCTCGCTTACCTTATCATAGAGATTCTTAAAGTTGCTGTCGGATATTTTTCGATATTCAATAATTTTTTCCGGGTATCCAGGAGTTTTTTGCCACGTCATAAATTGTGCTCTTTCAAGCAAACTTGCTTTGGCTGCGTCAGTAGATTTCCAATTTTCAATTCCTATGGCAACCTTTAACAAGCCGTAGACCTTTACAAGCTTTGTATATTGATGCCCCGTAATTCTAGGAGGAGTTGCCGCATCATTACCTGCAGCCATCGGGAAGGAGTGTTCGTAGTATTTTGCCATATTTTTTAGAAGTTACCTCCTCAGGTTCAAATTTCCTTTTCAACGAAGGTATGGAATTTTCGGCAATCTTAACTCTAGGTTACTCCGCGTCAGAAATGAGGCTCGCGGTTACCCTCTCTTCAACTTAATTGATAGGGCTGCTCGTTGCGACTGCCACGCTAGACTCCAGGTGCCGCTTCACAGCAACACTGTCATGAGGTGAGTTCAGCTTACCCGTCATCACATCATCATGATTAGATTCTGCGGCGGTCCCTACAGAGCAAAACCCAAGGATCAAGACAACAAGACACACCTTTACATGGAAAAACTGGGCTGTGCCGGTGAATGGCATTTTTGTAACTTGAAAATTGCGTGAGGCTTGAAGCAGACGAATGTGATGAGGTTGAGACCTAAACTGTCACCTCAGCGTAATTTATTTGGACTATCCGGACAATCTAATCTTTATTCTGTAGCCGCGCTGAATGCTCTAGATTCTTGTTCTACCGTATTGACGCTTTCTACTGAAGTCAGATGCTTGAACCCGCTTTATCAGAGAAGGTTGGGGACAGTTTCTTTGAGAAGGCACCGGATCAGATTCAAAGCGTAGCTTCTATTAATGGGACTAGCCAAAAGCTCGACGGGATTAGATGCAAATTTTCGTTTTGTGAACTGTCTGTGAATCGGTCCAACCGAATACACAAATCATACTGCTGCAGTGTCACATGCGGGTCACAAAATCGAATACTCAGTAGATTCCTGGTCTGCAACAACGCCTCTTGCACTTCTGTGCGAATAATGGCCAGTCCATGGCCATCATGAAGTTGCTGAGTGCACTTGTTCAAGTATCGCGTAAGAGTGAAAAAGTTATCGTGTTTGTTTATGATGCTATTCAAGTTCCTTCACGATATTTAGCATCTGGTCCGATTTGGTCCAATATTCGCTTCAAAGCGCTTTTCCCTCCTAGCAGAGGTGGTTTCATGACTCTCCAGAGCCCCAACAGGAGCAATGCGTGCTGCGCCTAAAATCTTGGACCTCCAATCAATCCATGTCTCATGGCGTTCAGGTCATGCTATGCCTTGGATGAGGTTATACCTCGCATCCATGTCTAAGACCAAACAGCGTTCCATGCTGTCAAAGCGCAAGAACTTTACATTGCGTCCAAGAAAGCTACTTTTAAGTCCATCGGGACTTTGAGTAAAGTAAAACACGCGTACCCGTTGCTATGAGAATCGTGACTGTGTCACTTTCACGCGCTACAAGCGCTTCATAATATTGCTGATTACCTTCCACGGTGGCACGGCGGGCATAATTGCCCGATGCCCCGAATTGATCAAAAATGATCCATGGCTTATCAAAGCCCTTTAGTGTTCCTTCGACGACTAGCAAGCCTGGCTTGCATTCTCGTTCCGTTTTTGAGCGTTAAGTTCTCTTTATGGTTGAGTCCTGCTTACTTCTACTTCCTAGAGGCTCAACAGAAAGCAGTTCTTCCCTAGCTGGGTGCCCCGCGCCTACTGGAATGCGCCGTTTTCCCGCGGCAAACCAAAGGGTTTACCCATGGGGTGTCGGCCTTTCGAGGCCAAATACGCCTTTCTTACAGGGCATTTTGCCATCAATGGCCTGTAGGTCCGCATCAGAATATTTGCGGATGTAGATCATGCCCGTCGGCTGATAGCGAGCTCCATGTGACTTGGTTCCTTGTAGGTAGAGAAAGATGCGTTTTACTGTCATCCAGGGTTCTTGTTGGAAATTTTTCATATAGCGAGACAGATAATCCACATCATACGCTATATCTGGGTGTCTTGCAGTCATCAAAGGCATCAAAGCACTAACTGCTTCACGAAACGGAGCATCCAATTTGGTCGCGTTTACTGCTGGGCACTAGTCGAGATCTTATATCGACCGGACTTATGGCAGCCTTGCACTCGCTCATGCCAAAACGCTTGAGAATGTCATCGACATAGCGTCGCTGGCACATGGTGACACTATCAACAGGTTCATCCATTAGCTTGATACCTAAAACAAATGTGCACTTGGTGCTGTCGTTCATCTTAAAACACATCTTGAGGTCACTTTGGTCTGTGCAATTAGGTTAATTAAACTACCTGTTACCAGAACATCAACCACGTATAGGAGCAGCAGTACGCACTGACCATCCACAACTTTGATGTACAAACATGGATCAAATGATGATACTCGAAATCCAATTGAGCGCACAAACTCGTCGAAAGTCTCGTTCCAAAAGCGCGAGGCTTGCTTAAGACCGTAGAGTGCCTTCACCAATCCCAAACAGTCAAAGTCACCCATCATCCATCTCAACGCCTTCTGGAATGACGCAAAATACTTGCTCCTTCATTACTCCGTACGAGAATTTTGTAACCACGTCAAGTTGGTTTAGATGCCAGTCGAAGTACTTGGTGATCGCAATAACCATGCGTAAAGTCACATACTTACGACCGGCGAGAACGTTTTGTATAATCGATGCCGTAATTCTGCTTTAAACCCTTGGCAACAAGACGCGCCTTGAACTTCTAGATCAATCTATTTGCCTTGCATTTGATCTTGAACACCCATTTGGTACCGATGGCGCGCTGGTTACTCGGCAATTTTGCAGCACGAAAGACACCACGAAGCTGCATCGACTCTAGTTGGTGGAATGGCTTTGCGTCAATGCATTTGGTTTGGTCCACTCATCGCATCTTGGAAAGTTTTAGGCCCCTTTCTCTCTTCTTTTCTCCCTTCCTTCCCTTTCTTTTTCCTCCTCTCTCTCCTTTTTTTCTTCTCCCCCCCTCCCCCCTTCTCTTCTTTTTTTTTTTTTTTCCCCCCCCCTTCGACACTTCTACATACCCCATGAAAATGCCAACACAAGCCTTGGAGTCCCACTTGAGATGCTTCTCACTTGGCGTCAGGATGTAGGCTTGGCATCCCAAAACACGCATTTGTTTGACGCTTGGCTTGGACTTGCACACGATCTAGGATGGTGTCATGTTTCGTACCTTAGGCGATGGAAGACGATTCTTCACGTAAAATGCCGTCATTGCTGCTTCTGCCCAAAAACACTTGTCCAACTTGGCGTGATGCAGAAAACTGCGCCCGATTGTCACGATGGTTTGGATGATGCGTTCTGCAGTGCCATTCGTCTGATGCACACATGGAACTGTTGTCTGCTGCTCGATGCCTTGGCCTTCGTAAAACGTCTTGAGCTAACTGGTCGCAGATTCTCGAGCTCCATCATGACGAACAAACTTGAGTGTCTTGCCAAATTGAGTCTGGATCTTGGTGATGTAGCTCTTGATGACATACTCGCTCTCAGACTTGGCTTGCAAACAGAAGCCCTGCATGTACTCACTAGCTTCGTCCGCAATCAACAGTAATTATCTGCTACCACCGATCATGACTTCTTCCATCGGGCTACAGATGTCGAAGTGGATCAGCTCAAATGTGTCGTAGCGGCGCATTTTTTTGTCGCGATTACTGGGGAATGGTTTTTGGACCATATTCCCTTGTTGACATCCGCGGCATATACTTGATCGACTTGACTTGACCGGCATCTTTGCGTCCTTAATCATTATACCACTGGTCACCCACCATCTTGCAAAGAACATCAAGTGGCACGTAACTTATGCGCGCGTGCAGATTGATGGCTCGGACATTAGTCGCAATGTTTGCTGACCGTTGTGGGTTCCGAAGCCAGTAGAGTCCATCGACAAGATCGGCTGTTGCCACCACTTGTGTCGAGTCTTTCTTGCCACATGCATCTTGGAACCGTCGAACACCACTTGAGACTTGCCGCTCTTGTTAATCTGCGGCACCGAAAGCTGATTCTTGTTCATGGTTGGCACAAACAGTGCATCCTTGATCTCGATGTCGCATTCGTCGTTATTGAGCAGAAGCACTCGCTCGATGATGGTTTCCACACCCTTGATTGGAGCCTTGTTGCCGTCAGCCACCGATAGTTCGACTTCATGCGCTCATCTAGAATTGCAAACTTGGCCTTGTCGCTGCCGATGTGGTGCGTTGCGCCGGTGTCGACCGCCTACATCCCTGGCATATTCTTGCCCGTGAAAACCTCAAGCAAAACTGCAAAAGCGACTTGATCATGCTGCTCGTAGTCGTCCTCGCTGCGCCAGTGGACATTATTTGCCTCGTGTCCACGACCATTCCCGCCGCGTCTTGGGCCCT